CGGCCGTTTTCTGCAGCATCCTTTGTTCATGCGCCATGTTAACAGCCTTCCAACTGGGGAACGGATGGACAGGTAAGCATATATTCTCAAAGCGGAAGATGCTTCTAGTGGCCCAGTGGGCAGACTAAGCCTATATGGAGACAATCACTGGTCTTTGATTTCCCTTGCATTCCTTATTTTTATTCAAATAAAAACAGATTTAAAAGCTTATTTTCCTGTGCCCAAAGCACAAAAAGGCTTTCTAAGTTCTCAGGCAATGCAAAAAAATCTAGGCTGGGGGTTGGGGGTGGGGTTTCTTTGAGCAGAAATAGGGCTTCCTATTTTCAGGTCTATATTTTCCCAATAGTATGGAAATCACTTCTCTTTTTAAAACAGCAGAAGTCCACCTAACAGTAAGTCTGTAAGATGCTGTGATGAGTAAAGAATGAAGTGATTCATAGAGGGATTTTAGAATTGAGACCTGCCAGTCAAAAATCCCTATACACGGCAAAATGGATAGTTTTAAGTCGGCTTGATGGAGAAGAAAGTCAATCTCATACACTGATTAAGAGAAGATCTTATGTGCTCTCATCATGTCAAAGAGAACACTTGGGACAAAGAGGCTCAAGGTAAATGACTACCCAAGGCCACAGAGTCGGCTTGTTACAAAGTCTATAGTACAACCAAGTCCAGTGTTTTGTTTTTGTTTTGTACCACACCTCTCTGTGAATGGGAAGTGTTCTACCTGGCTAAACTTCTTCCCTAATTGTACAAGGTAGACACTCACACTAGAATCAATAATCTCAAAAGACCTGACATTAGGTTTACCACATTTTGTTCCTCACCCCTCGAACACAGAAGCCTGCAACTTTCTAAGAATTCTTTGTAACGACTGGCTCACCCAGTTAAAAATGGCACAGTGCAGATTAGAATCAGGCATACTTTCAATAAAAGGTTACTGGCTATATGGATGCACGTTTCTGTTTCCTATTTATTGTCCAAGGGATTCATCCACGGAGCAAACAGTGGCTTTCCCCAAATCTCCCCTTAATAATTAGGGAAAAAATGTAGGCACTTCTCAGATCTCCACTTCGGCAATGTTTTGGAAAGGGAAGGACCTGACCTTTCAAGTCTATTCAGTAACATGGATGAACCAATTCACACAGCACATTAAGGCAGCAGGCATCTTCATTGCAGTTTAATGAGCTCCTCTGAAAGTTCCTGCAGATAAGAAGCTAGATTCTTACCCTAAATGGGATAACAAAAAGCCTTTCTCTTTCTTTTCTTTTTTGCCACAAATAGAAAATTAGCTCTGAACACACTGCATGTGAGACATGGTACCTCTCAAAATGCTAAAAAGAGAGAAATGGACACCAGACTAAAAACAGAACAAGTGTACATACCAAGTTGTGTCCTTAAAACACCATGGACCAAGAAGTGTGTGTAGCAGGATGTGCTTAATTCACACAGTATTCTAGCTACATTAATTATAGCACGTAGGTGGGTATAAGAACAGTGTGCTGTATTCTAACCTGCCATCTACAGTAGGAAAATACACTTTAAAAATTACTTGTGTGTGTGTGTGTGTGTGTGTGTGTGTGTGTGTGTGTGTGTGTGTGTGTAAGTGCATGTATGTGCTAGTGTCCTGAGAGGCCCTGATGCTGTCACATCCCCTGGTGCTGGAGTGATGGGCTGTTTTGGGTGTTTCATATGTGTCCTAGGAACCATCCTTTGGAAGAGCAACAAAGGCTCTTAATCGCTGAGCCATCTTTCCATCCATGACAACACACTTCTTACACAGGGCTTTCTTAAAGTTACCCTATTTTTCTTCTACATAGCAGCAGGTTGCTAAGTTATGTGGGACTTGGGGAGCATTCTAGACTCTTAATAACATGGTAAAGGGCCATGGCATCTATGTCCACTTTGAAGAAATTTTAGCATAAGCAATGCAGTGTTACTAACGGATTAAAAACGATAGCTTTTACAAAGTCGGCAGCTCTGATTAGAGTTTTCTTGCTCAGAGTGGTTGGCCAATATTATGTTGAAGATGCCTACGTCTTAGTCAATACCACACATCTGGCATACTACAGGGGGTTTCACTGGTGAAATGAAAGTTGATAAGGTATATGCTTAAGACAGGCTTTTTGTTATTCAAATTAGCGATGTTTAAATAAACATGTAAATGGGCAAAAATTAATGTAGAAAGCATAAGACTCCAGGAGCTCTGTGACTTTCCCCCTCAGATATGAACCTGAGGTTCTGTTGTAAATGACCTTAGGTCCAACAAGTGAGGGAAGAAGATCCCATGTGACACTCGCTACAGGGCCTGCATGTGACACCCATAAAGAGCCCTGTGTGTGACAGCCACTGCACAGGTAAGGGAATCTGATCCTAGAAAGCTGACACGTTGACCCTGAGCTAACCTTTACAAAGCAGATTTGAGTGGAGTGCTTTAAAAGGCCAGCTGAACAGCTGAAACCGCCCTGAGTCCCAGGACAGTCTGTGATGGTCCCCTCCCCTGCTGTCCCTCCCCCTGCTGTCCTCCCCTGCTGTCCTCCCCTGCCGTCCTGTAAATGTGAGTTCAATAGAAGCCTATGTGCATTAAGTAGAACTCCAGCCACTCAAGTTGCTGCCTTGAGCAAATCCTCACCCCAAGTCTCAGCCACTTCCTGTGGCCCCTGCTATGTGGCAGAGACCTGAGCAATACCTTCTAGAGCATTATAATACCCCCCCCAACACACACACACACACACACACACACACACACACACACACACACACCCACCTCAGGAGAGCCATGCTGAGAGCCAGGGCAGGCTGAAGCCCAGGCAGCCCCAGAAAAGAGAAATTCACTCACCAGGCAGAGAGTTCACAGTTCTGACAACTTCTCACATTGGAGACCTTCATATGCACAGCCCTGGCTTTTGTATAAACTTTTCTATAACTTTCTAAGACCAACATACAGGGAAAAGAGAGAGGTGCTAACATAGATATTTATTTTTAATCTTTCCAGCTCTGGACAAACTTGTAAATAAACCCATCTCCATTATCTGGTTCCCATCTCCCACTTTCCTTTTGGCACAGTGATGAGCTGAGCGGGAGACTTCACATTCCAGTTTGTGCTAACAGGTGGGCTTAAGACCTCAATATACACATTCTAACGACAGTGCTGAGGCCAGCCAGCCCATGCGCAGTACATTTTCAGGGTTTGCAGATGGTCATTGTTTTCTTCTGGGCAGAGTGGTCCACGGAGCACCCAACAGGCTGTGGTGGTTTGAGTAAGAATGAATGCAAACACTCTTGTGTTTGAATGCCTGACCCAGAGAGTGGCACTATTAGGAGGTGTGGCCTTGCTGGAGTAGGTGTGGCCTTGTTGGAGGAAGTGTGTCCGTCCCTTTGGAGAATGGGATTTGAAGTCTCATATGCTCAAGCTTCCCCCATTGTGGGACAAAGTTGCTTCTGTTGCACTATGCAGGGCTCGAGCTCCTTCTCTAGCACCCTGTCTGAAGCAGAACTATTTCATCGGGACTACCAGCTCACAAATAATCACACTGAGACTTATGAAAGCTTGGGCCTTAGCAGAGGCTTGTTCTCAACTAGCTCTTATAACTTAAATTAACCTATTTTTATTAATCTCTTTTCTGCTGTGTGTCTTATTGGCAACAATGCTTTCTTCCTCTCCGAGTCCTTTTTGTCCCCATTAGTCCTGCCTAACCTTTTCCTGCCTAGCTATTGGCTCTTTATTAAACCATTCACAGTGGCACATCTTCCACACAATATAAAGAAATATTCTCTATCATGTGTCTGCCCACCATGAAAATAATGGACTAAACCTTGAAAACTGCAAGCCAGCCCCAATGAAATGTTTTCCTTTATAAAAGTGTCCCTTCACAGCACCAGAAGCCCTAACTAAGACAGGCTGCCATTTCATCCCTGCTGTATTAGACTATACTTTGAACTCTCAGGTAAAATAAATCCTTTTCCTTTAAGTCATTTCATTACAGCAACAAGAATAGAAACTTAGACAAAACCCATGCCCTCAAATTATAGCAAAAACAATTTTTCTTCCCTTCAATAGCATAAGCTGGGCATTATTATTAAAGGTGGGAAAAATAACTAACACAACACACAGAAAACAAGGACAGGTGGTACTCAAAACTGTAACACACACACACACACACACACACACACACACACACACACACACACACACACACATGGCCCAGAGACAGATATTGAGGCTTAAGCTAAAGATCAGGGAGGCAAAGTAACCAAGCTACCAGAGAGCTCTTACCTCTAACAGGGCATTCCTATTCTCAATGGGGCTGGAGAATGAACGCCTCCTCCTACTAAGATCTTACTTCTGTTTTTATACCTCCCTAATGATGAGATTAAAGACATGTGATCCCAGGTGCTGAGATCATCTTTGTGTGAGCTGTTTCTCTTTAGGAATGGATCAATCTTATGCAGATCTGGGTGGCCTTGAACTCTCAGTGATTGGTCTACCTCTTAATCCTGAGTCCTAGGATCAAAAGTGTATGCCACCACCTCCTAGCTTCTACAGCTTGTGGCTGACTTTGCTTTCTGAATCATCAGGCAAACTTTAATAAATCATAAACAATGTAACACTACACAGGACTAACTCATTTCCTAAGCTTTGGGCACTTCTGTCTGACAAGGGAAAACTAATGTTGAGTGGCCACATGGTGGCACTCTAACTGGGCATCTCTTCCCAGCTCTGAGTTCAGTGACATCACACAGGTAGGTCCTTGACATTGGCCATGATTGAGAGGGCACAGTGCTAGGGAAAAAAAAAAAAAAAACCAGTTGATGCTACAAGTCACTGGTTTGGTTGGGGTTCAGGGCTGGCTGTTAACCGTTCATTAGAACACCATTGGTGTGCATGATGTTAAATAGAGAAGACTTCCCGTCCTCTACATATAACACTTCACAACCACACTATCACAGAGGGACCACACCGTCATGCACATTGGCCGCCCAAGGCGACAGGACACACTCACTTTTGAAGCAGCTGGGTCCACTAGTCTCTGGCGATGTCGAGCTGAGTTGAAATGGCTCTTCGGAGGCTGCCCTTCCTGACAGTGAATGGAAGATGGGAAATGAACGAGAGGCAGGGAGGGGAAAAGTGGGCATGGGATGATGGGAGAATGGCCAGAAAAGGAGAGGACAGCGTTTAACGGTACTGTACTTTGTTTAAGCCAAATATCCATTAAACACACACACACACACACACACACACACACACACACACACACACAAACCATGTTCACCCCCACAAAAATCACACAACTCAAGCAAGTCATTATATTAAAAATAGCCAATATATACATTTGTGTAACAATGCCACAAGCCCTGCCCAAGATTCAGACATTTTACAACAGATCCTTATTCTTCTGTTAGCTGATCACACTAAGGAAAACTAGGGTACTATATTCCTGAACCCAAAGTTCTCTTTCCTAAGGAAACAGCATCATGGAGCTTGCTCATGGTCAGACTACATGCTTACTTGATATCATCTAAATGTCATAAGGACCACAGTCTTCCTCATACCTAGGAAAGAAATAACTGTCTTAAAGGCCCTCTCTCTCTGTGTCATCCCAGTAGAATTAATCTTTTTTTGACAACCATCAATAATTCCCCTAAATGTGTATTTTACATTATTGGTTTAAATAGGGGCTCACATTAAGTTTATTATGTACACTGAAGAGTGGTCTTTCCCTGAGCTAACTCTGTTAACAGCCACATGGAATGACAAAGCAAGCACAAACAAAACACACAGAAAGCTTAACACTTAGCACCCCTCATTATAACACACACACACACACACACACACACACACACACGCAAACCATAGATTCATAATTGAAAGACAATAAATTGTGAATAGAGCCCTCCCCCAAATCATAGAGTCCATTTGTATCTTTCAAAGCTGTACAATAAATAGTAACAATTTAATGAGAATGCTACCCCCCAAATGAGTAACAACTCCAAGATGGCAAGTGACAATCCAACAGAGAGACGGTCTCATGAAACCTCTGGTCTGGGGGAAGTGGCACAATGGTCAAGGCCCTTGCCTGACAAGAGCTAAAACCCTCAGTTCAATCCCCAGCACTGCCAAACAAAAACAAATACCTCTGGGGTCCGAAGACCCAGCTTGTGGGGACACAACAAACAGGCAGCAAAACGACCTTGAGATGGAGAACAGTATTTACCTCAACTCTATTTTAAAAAGGGCTGGGAGGAGGAATAAAAAGAACCCTGGTATGCACTGGGGAGGAAGAGGCAGGTGAGTCTCTGCGAGTTAAAGGCCAACCTGACCGACCCAGTGAGCTCCAAGATTCCAGGACCACAGAGCCAGACTCTCAAAAAATGTTTAAAGGAAGGTTAAAGACCCATGGCTATGGGAAACTGTAGTAGAGGCGATGTAGCACTTACAACTCCTTTTCAAACATTTTCTTTTCCTTCTGGCAATGATTTCCTTCTAGTAGTAGCCTCTATTACTTTGAAGGAATGCATCAATCATACCCTCTTGAATTCCCAGCAATCCCTGCCGTCGTGTACAAAGCTTAACACTTACAATTCAAAACGGGGCACACAGGTTAAGATTGTTATTTTTGATTTCTAGAGCCTTCCCTACCAACATAGCCTTTCCTCTATCCTTTTCTTAAAAAAGGAGGGGGGGGGGGGAGGGGACAAAATGGTCTTGAGCCCAGCGGCCTAGCATGTCTCCCAAAGCCTCACTTGCAAAACCGATACAAATACCATTTGGCAGAAGAAGAAGCTAAATATGGCTTCCCCTCTCAACATCAGTTTTTAAGTGTTTTTAGAGAAAGAAAAAAAAATTTTTTTTAAGAATAGCAGATTAATTTGATAATTTCAAAACTGTCATTTATATTTAGCAGTTTATCAGAATGGAGTTTTGACTTTTTTCTCTTTCATCTCTCTCAACAGAAGAAGTTATCAAATAAAGAGTTGTTTGCAATAATACATCTGGAGAATCCCCACCCTGACTGACCTCCCCGAGGAGTGATTGGTACAGCTGATTTAAGATTCCAACACACAGCGTCTGGTCCCCACCCCCACATCAGGGGGAAAAATATTAATCTCAGCCTTAAATATACAATTACAGTCAACGTGCAAAATTAACTAAACCCTGAGCCTGTAGTTTATTGCTCTTGTTCTGACTCCGAGGTGAAAATGTTATCTTTTTTTAATTAGCTAATTGTACCATGAACACAGCAGGAGGCGGGCATTGATAATTAAACCTGGAATTGGAATCCTTAAATGCTCGGTTGGTAGAAGGCTGGTGTAGAATGAGCACACACATCCTTTGGGAGGTAAGGGTTTGTGGGTTTGGTTCGTTTCCCTCATTTTTCATCAAGACAATGAATCTGTAACAGTGGACAGCCTGAGATGAACAAATAGGTGTATGGAATAATCAATGTAGATACACAGAGATATCAGTCATACATCGTAATGGAAGCCAAGGAAGAGCCTGCAGGACTAATGTCATTTTAATGAATTGCATATAGAGTGAAAATAAGGAATCGTGAACTGCTCACAGCAAGTTTTCCTCCACATGGTTCTTAAACTTTACCATTAATTTCCCATAAATAGTCCTGCCGTGTTTTCCCCTACAGTTGGGGAGCTAAGCTGCTCCTAGGTTCCAGCATTAGTTTGGTGACCCTGAGACCCTGTGGAAGCTGAAAACATTAGACCTGAGAATCTAGGTGGAAATCCTTGAGAAGGACTTTGTTCAACAAGTCATTTTCAGCGACCCTAAATAAATAGCCCTTCCTTTCTGACACTCTAACTACTTTCCATACAGGGGAGGGGTGGGTTTAAACAATAGTATCACTCAGTAGTGAGTGTGTGTGTGTGTGTGTGTGTGTGTGTGTGTGTGTGTGTGTGTGTGTCTGTGTGTGTGGTGTTGCGGATGAAACTGAGCACATATGCAAGCTAAGCATTCTATCACCAAACTACATCACCAGCCTGGTCGTCACACATCTTTTTAAAAAAGCAAATAAAGTTTAAACAGTTTCTCAGGAAAGCAACTTCCTACATACTATGGCTTAAATACCAAAGTTGGGGTATTGGAAACCTCATCCCTGAATTCATGTATCTATGATTGATTACTTTAGGGTAGAGCCTTCTGGAAGGACTTATGATTAGATGAAGCTCCCAGGGCTGGACCCCATGATGGCATTGGTGATTTTATGTAAGAGGAAGAAAGATCCAAGCTGGCACGTTTGCCTGTCTCACTATGGATGGGTTCACTGAGCGATGAGACATCAACAGAGACCTCAGAAGCTAAGGAGCAAAGACAGCACCACGCTCTGACTTCCCAGCTTCCAGACAATGAACAGAGTGGGTGGGTGGGTGGGTGGGTGGGTGGGTAGATAGATAGATAGACAGACAGACAGATTGACAGAAAGACATAGATGAGAGACAGGTGATAGAGACAGATAAACAAAACCTATGTATTCTCTACAAATTATCTCATTTCAGCTATTTTCATATACCAACAGTAAACAAACTTATTTGTTTGAAGTTTTCTATATTCAAAAAAAATTTTAAACTATCACTTATGCCAACACTAAAGGCGCAAATCTGTGTCTTCATGTTTTCCCTCATTTGTCACATCCCAGAACTGGCTTCTCTTCCTAAACAGCAGCCCTCGGAGTCGGAGTCCTGGTGTCTGTCACTCCAGACTGAGACATCAATCTCCTGATACCATTTACCCGCCTGCCTAATGACATCAACATCAGCAAAATAACAGATTGGACCTGGGTGGGTCCCACAGGGTTCAGAACTAAATGGCTTATTTACATATGCAAATCAAAGGTCTTCTCTGCAAAGAAGTAGGGAAGAGTGGGGCTCAGGGAGTAGAATTCCTTGCCATTAGTTTCAAGAAACAAGCACATTCCAAATTTGCTTAGGTAGGCTCAACTAAAATAATTCTGCTATGATAACCCCTAGTAACAAAAGTAGCAATCCTCGATTATGTAAATAAACCATTAAAATGACAAAAGAAAGAGAGCTGGTTTGTGCATAATGTAGAAATTTAATGAGACATATTTCACTTGATAGTAAATGCTCCCACCAAACCTTCACCCATTCGATAAATCGTTTTTAGAAATTATTAACATCCCTTAACACTACAGATCATACTTTTTAAAGAAATTATCGTTCCTTGACATTGCAGATCTGATAGCTTAGTACTTTAGCCTAATGTGCAACACTATACACATATTTACAAGAATGCTTTGTGGAAAATAATACATCAGGTGTGGAATAATGGGTGCCCAGTGAATTTAGTTGCTTACAGCCAACTGTTTATAAAAGTCTAATTCTTTAAATCACATGTAAGTTAATCTTGCTCAAAATAAGAGCCTCAAGGAAAATTTAAAATTAAGTGTACCTATAATTTTCAGCATGCATCTCATTTTTCAAAATAATAATAAAAAAATCTATCCTTAGGTAGGTATTTCCTGCCTTGAGATTTTAAAACAAGGAAGGGAGGGGGCAGAAAAGCACTCAACGATTGTTCAAGGCCTCACAGACTACTACTTAAAAGTCTACCTCAAAAAGTTTTCATTCTAAAAGTAATCATGTGCATCTCTCAGAGGGAGGTAAACTTCTCCCCCCAGGTCTGAGATGATCTCTGTCTGTCATAGGAACACTTCATCCCCAATCAAAGCTCTTATTAAACACTATACTTAAGTACAACAAAGCTGATTTCACATAGAAACCACCAAAGAGGCACTTGATCATCAGTAAAACAATCTAGATAGGGCCTCACAAGGTAAAAATATTCCATGGAAATAAATTGATTGATGGGATTCATAAGCCAGGGAGACTGGAGCAATTATTAAGCATATCAAGCAGGGATCAGGAAAACGGACGCTGAAGGAATGTGCCACCTAAGAGACACAGCACGTTTTCCACCACCATGGCATCAGTTTCCCCAAAGCCACGTGGGACTTACCACGGAGGAATTTATTGGCACTTGTAACACTGCGAAGATGAGATCCATTCTTTTACATTCTTTCAAAGTCAAGTTTTCAAATTAGGTCAA